ATCTCAAATGTATCCTGGAAAGACGCATACTTTACTTGACATTTACAGACAAGCTACGGAAAATCCATTTGGTTACTTAGTGGTGGATCTGAAGCAAGAAACTGAAGATGGTTCGAGGCTTAAGCCTAATGCATTGCAGCAAGTTGCAGAAAGTGTTCCATATACATCATTTCAACATTTTTATAACACGGCAGGGAGCTCCACTGCTCAACAGAGGCAAGATATGTCGGAATTCCGACCAAATACCATTGTTCAATCAACTCAGATGGATGCTACGTATCCAGGTCCAATGGATGATGTTACTCTAAGAAACCCCTCCATTTTACATCTCCCCCATTGTAAAGACTGTGGAACAGTGTTGATTACCACAAAACATGCAGACATACATCAAAAATATTGCCAATATGAAGACTCTGGTAAAAATGAACCCCATGCTGAAGATTTGAAGGAAAATTATACATTTTCTACTCTGAAGCAGAACGTGTTGGATGTATTGAAAAAAGAAGCTGACACTTTGTATGAAAAATACACTACCAGGGGATTACCAGAGAAGGAAATTACTCAAAAGCTCAAAGCAAAACTTTATCCCAAAGCAAAATCTGAGTTTTTAAATGACTATGGTGAAATTCTGAGGTTATTTATTGAAGTCAAAGATGCTGATGTACATCGAGAAATAGTAGAAGAAATTGAATTCTTAGTTGATCAAGACATGTCTCTGTCGAGAGCTATCAGAAAAACTTTGGCCAAATATTCTTATATAGCTGATGAAATGTTTAACGATGAGGAGTCTATTGACGGACATGATTCAGAAGATACAGATACATCTGGTGAGATGGAAGAAGAACGTAGTGAGATTTTGTGAATGAACGTTTGGTAGTTCCTTTTCGTCACTACGATGAGAATATAAAGAGAAACCTTAGTCATGGGCATCAGAAGTTTGAGAAAAACGGAGGAAGCAACAATGCCTAAGATAGTGCCTTATGTGGATGACCCAGAAGTGTGGAAGAAGTTTATACGAGCCCAGGTAGAAGGCAGAGTCATCGAACATGCTGGTTATGGTAAGCGAGGAAAACTCAAGTGGATACCAGTGTCATCAGTCCGCGAACCAATTGTTCAACACGTCAGTCCCACTGAAGCTGTTTATCAGAGAGCAAAGGCAGAAATTGACAAGCAGCAGAAAGAAATGGCTGAACGGGATCAGCCATCAAAGAGAGTTTACAGACAAATGAGTGACAATGATTCCTTTGACCACACCTATAATGGAAATGTGATGAATAGACTTTTTAAGAAACCTAAGAAAAAGAGGGATGTTATGGTTTATTCTGGCCCACCTGGAAAACGCAAACGCAGACAGTGATCATTAACAATGGACTATGAAATAATTTGTATAAATGACAATATGTATATTAAATAAACAACTAAAGCACTAAAATGCATTTTACTGTTATTGTTGGGTTGTTGTTGATAGTGGCGGTGGTGGCGGCGGCGGTGGCGGCGGCGGCGGTGGCGGCGGCGGCGGCGGCGGCGGTGGCGGCGGCGGTGGGGTCAAAGAGTGCAAAAATCTGATCTGATTGATTGAAATGGTTCTGCAGCTCATTTGCATATACACTTTGATTGGTCGAAAATGTTCTGCTGTAAAACTGTTAACGTTAGCATTTTTTATTTATTTTGTAGGGGTTTATATTTTTATCAGTGGCATGTTAAATTAAGAGATGCCTATTAAAGCGTGTTATTTTGTATAGTGGGTGGGTGTCTATTTTGTGAAAATGCCTTAAACTCCAAAAGTTAGCAGAAATCGATCAACAGTGACTGAAATTGTCCAAACGTGACACTTTAAAAAATATTCTAAAATGACTTAGGAGTAAGAATCAAGTGCTCGTTTGGTGAAAAAATGTCTCAAACTCCAGAAATCATCCAAAATCACTCAAGCGTGAAGATTGGAAAAATGCTCTAAATTGACTCGGGAGTAAGAATCAAGTGACCGTTTGGTGAAAAAATATCTTAAACTCCAGAAATCATCCAAAATCACTCAAGCATGAAGATTGGAAAAATGCTTTAAATTGACTCTTGGTTAAAAAACTTCAATACCTGTCTGAACTGGTTAAATTGTACAAATATTCTCCTATTGGTCGATTTTCTTATATCTGATGATATCTTATATGGATGAAAATATACTGTACCACGATTGGTTAACATAGTCCAAGCATATTATCCCTTATTGGTTAAAATGATTCTGCATCTCAAAACCTGATTGGTTGAAACATACTGTACTGGGATCGGTTAACATAATTCTGCAAGTTGAAACCCGTCTGGTTAAAATGGTTCTGCAGTTATCTTTTTTACTGTTTCATCAGTTTGTTATCAACCTTTGACCTATAACCATGAAACATCCATGAAGTAGACAAGATAGTTTATCACATAGTCACCAGGTTACCTTAACAGTGTTTGTTTGAATATCTTATCAGTTATCAGAAACCCTTGATCTTGCACCAATTATCAGTAACCTTTGACCAGTGATATAAAGTGTCATGATGGTTCTACAGCTTATGCAACATATGAAGTATGTGTCAAATATAATTGGTCAAATTGGTATATTGCAGCCATGTGATTGGTTGAAATTGTTGTGCAGTTATCTTTTTCACTGTTTTATCAGTTAGTTAAAACCTGTTTGAATGAAATGGTTCTGCAGTTATCTTTTTTACTGTTTTATCAGTTTGTTATCCACCTTTGACCTATAACAATAAAACATCCATGAAGTAGACAAGATAGCTTATCACATAGTCACCAGGTTACCTTAACAGTGTTTGTTTGATTATATTATCAGTTATCAGAAACCCTTGATCTTGCACCAATTATCAGTAACCTTTGACCAGTGATATAAAGTGGCATGATGGTTCTACAGCTTATACAACCTATGAAGTATGTGTCAAATATAATTGGTCAAATTGATATATTACAGCCATGTGATTGGTCGAAATTGTTGTGCAGTTATCTTTTTCACTGTTTTATCAGTTTGATGTCCACCTTTTATCTGTAACAATGAAACACCCATGAAGTAGACAGATAGCTTATCACATAGTCACCAGGTTACCGTAACAGTGTTTGTTTGATTATATTATCAGTTATCAGAAACCTTTCACCAGTTATGTCACTCCAAGTGCACCATGTTATCACATGACCTCACTTCCGGTGGAACTGTAACATGTGACCTATGACGTCACTTCCGGTGGAAGTGGAACGTGGAAGTGGAACAGTGCCGGTGCCGGTTGTAGGTCGAAAGTTGCAGCCTATACTACTTACTTCTACACGCTTTTACATTAGTCCCAATCACGCAAATCCCTTGAATGTCCCGGGACATCCTGCAAATTTAGGTGGATGTCCCGCGAAATCCCGCAAATTAAGGGGACTTTGTCTAAAAAATCTGTCCCTCTATGAAGTTTTTGGTGGTACACCTGTTAACTGTCCCGCAATTAGGGTGTTTGTCCCTCGAATGGTCCCGCGAAATCCCGCGAATTTGATAAAAAAAATCTCCTATTAGCGCAATCACGCAAATCCCTTAAATGTCCCGCAAAATCCCGCGAATTTAGTAGATGTCCCGCAAAATCCCGCGAATTTTGGGCACTGGGTCTAAAAAATCTGTCCCGCGAGAAAATCTTTAGGGGTTGACAGTACTGTGTTTAATTCATTCTTCTTATTTGAATCATCATGAGAAAATTCATACAGTGTTGAGGTGCTAGGGGAACTATTGGTGGAGGCACAGGGGGTGCTAGGTTGAGGTGCTAGGGGTACTATTGGTGGAGGCACAGGGCGTCAGTGATAGGTGGAGGTTACAGGCCTGTCAACTTGGGGACACCTAACATGAGTGACTTGCAAATGTTGAACACCTTTGTTCAAATTTTGGACACCTTGGTCCAAATCTGAACATCTTGGCCACAATTTGAGCACCTTGTTTTCAATTTTATTGCATTTAATCAAATTTTGGACACCTCAATTTTTCGCGCTCGCTACGCTCGCGATATCGTCAACAGGGGGGGGGGGGGGGGGGGGGGGGTAGGTACGAAAATTTCCAATTAACATGCGTGACACATACGGGATTCGCGTGACAAATCCGAACAAATTGCGTTCGGTTTTTTCCGACGTTCGTATTTTTACCGTATCGTCAACATATTTTGAAAAAGTTTTCTACAGAAATATTTTTGCGTGACAATTACCAGGTAAAATGCGTATTTGCGTGACATTTTCTGTCACGCAAAAAAAACTGGCGTGACTTCAAATTCTTCAGCAAATGCGTGACAAATACGCAAATTGCGGGACAGTTGACAGGCCTGAGGTTACTTCCTGCGAAAGCTATTTGGATTTTGATAACATAAGTTTCAAAATCTAACGTGGCTCTCGAAGTGAGTAAGGTGGAGGCACATTGGCTGCCTTAGTTGGAGGCACGGGGTGCTAGGTATAATGTAAAGGCATGGGGGAGGGTCTTGCTGGTAGATGGACAGGGATCATAGGTGGATGCACAGGGCCAAGGAAGTTATAGGTTGATGCACATGAGTGCTAGGTTGAGGCATAGGGGGACCAGGTTGAGGCATTTGGGCCAAAATCACTGATGGTCATGTACAGCAAAATGATGACTGATTAACACAGAGCCTGGTCTCTGATAGATTGTTTCATAGTTAATTCAAACATTAACACAGTCTCGATTTATAGGTCTATCCTCTTTCCAGAACCATTTGTAATCAGATAATAGATTAGAAAACACAACTTTGAAACCTTCAAATTTAGTGCCAAATTTTGACAAAGTAATCAGACCAATCAAATTGCTCAAAAAGTAGGTCATGGCTTTTTGTACAATTTAACTACATTTATCAAGTAAAAAACACAAAAGAAACGAAGATCATCTTGTCATTGTAATTTATGACACGCAAATTATGATTTATAGTACATTAGTACTAATTAATTCGATTTGTTTATTTCCTGAAATTTTGTTGGGGTGTCCAACTCAGCCGCCATATTGGAATTGACGAAAAAGTTGAAATGACAGAATTTATAGTATTTCCACATTTTCAAGGTATGTATAACAAAACAGCTAAGTGTGTGCAAAACTATATAATGTTTTTATTATAAGGTATCTTAAATTTCACAATTTTTAGTACTACCACGTGTAACTAGAGAGAAACAGACTCGTCTGTCAAGTGGTTGATGGACAAAATTTTTGAAAAAAATATTTGTAAAGTGGTAAACATAGATCTAAATAATTACTCACACTTTGAAAAAGACATTCTGTCACATATGTCATAAATTCTTACCTCAGTGAATTGAGTGCTCTATTTTCTCTATCTTGGAACGTACAAATATAGTGGAGTGTGTCCATAATGACAAATAGGAACTTCAGTAACTTGAAGTGAATACTCACATGTTAGGTTCTGCTGGAAAGTAAGTTAGGGCGAAAGGGTATAACGTCGACAACATTTTGGGGTAACTTCGGCATGTGGGCTAACTTCGACACCTTGTTTATTTGCTCTAATTTCCGATCTAGGGGAAGCCATGTTTTTTTCTCGCATGGATCAAGATCTCGCAAGATTTTAATTTTTCCAGAAATAAAACATGTCGGAAAAACGGAAATTCTGCTTCTAATAAGTATGTGTCGAAGTTACCCAAACTATTATGTCGATATTACCCCACACATCGACATTACACACCTTTGCCCCACGGACCTCTGCCAAATTACCTCTTCTTCAGTGGTGTTTAGGCTCAATAGATATACTCAAGGACAAGACACATCTTCGGAAAATTCATATTTCCTTGATTTTGGAGTCAGTTTATCAATAAATATCACATGTCATACCTCAAACGATGAGTACTGTTGTTGGCTTCATCTCCAATCACTAAAGCCTCACATTCAAGAAAGTGTATGTTGGTAAAAGCATAAAAAATTAAGCGAGCATATATTTAATGGATTTCTTCGGCTATTTCTGTTGTTCAAATGTTTATTCCCGAAGTCAAATGTCTTTTCTGAGAATATGACACCACTCCGGATGAAGTCACATCGGAGATTACCGAGAAACCCCATGACGTATCTTTAAAATCCTGTCGAAAAAATAATGGTTTGTTAGGCTACACGATATTTACTTTCATTGGCTGTTTGTTGTGATATGACATAATTTGAGAGATGAACAACATCGGACATTGCCGGGAATTACCGAAACACTTCATTATTATCTTTCTCTGAACATATGTACATTGTACAAGTCCTAACTTTTTGCATATTTCAGATAGTTATGTATAATGTAATTTAGGGAGTTTCAGCCATGTTAATTTTTTCGAAAATATATATCAAAATATGAGAGGCCACAGATATGATAGCTAAACTTCAACACAAACTAAAATATACAAAAGTAAGCACATGTATTGCTCATTGTACATGTTGTACAGGCTTTTCTTGATTATACTCGGTATACTGACCATTAAGGGGAGGCATCAAAAGTTCGATGTCGGATAGAAAACCATCGGGTCACGCAAATAGCTACCTGAAATGAATCATTTGAAAATATTGACCGATAAAATTTTGTCCTTTTTGAGGGCTTTTGAAGTACATATTTCTGTACCTTCTCAATTAAAGAGTGAACCACGAAAGGCTTAATTGTTCTCTCTTCCAATGCTTGTCGAGGTTCTTTTTAAAAGTCTTTCTAAGACTCAGGTAATAAAAACACTGTTGCTGTAGGAAACACTGACCAGTTGGTCTCAGGAATTAATCTTTTTCATAAACCCTACATCCTCTGTCTAGACTGAATAAAGGGCTCCAGAACTCTACCTGTACCCTTCTAATCTCTATCTTAAAAAGGAACGTATGAGAAATTTTGATAAATTGTTATCGTCATATATGTCTATGTCAATTGTCAACAATCTGCAAAAGGCTAGTTATATATAACAGTGATATAATTTGAATAAACTACATAATTGGACCCTTAACATTTAAATATACATCTACAGTTTTAACTCATTTAAAATTGGATGGATAAGATACACTGGAGACGACGGTCTACCACATTGACATTGCCACTGTTTACCAGTCGTACATGCTGTTAGCACTGTACTGGGGACCCTATTATTTTAAAATAATGAGTTGAGTGATAAAAATAGATCTATATTAAAACACACCTATTTAATTGCAGTTATTGGCATAGGCATAGTATGATGGTTTAAAGATACTTAGCAATGATCTCCACATGATTTTTTCTCAAGTGGGTGCAAAATTCTCATTTTCACAATTCAGACCAAAATTGCTCAAAATATGCCAATTTTTCATGATTTTTCTCATTTTCAAGTGGGTGCAAATTGATTTTCAGTTGGGTGCAAGCCTATTTTCATAATTTCAGATGTGTGCTGCGCCCGCTTGCTTTAATGGTGGGGAGATCGCTGCTTAGATTGTCTCAGTCTAAGATTCTTTGAGGATGTGAGTGTGGTTCTACTGAGGGCCCCCATATTGCCTTTTAACCACTATGTTATGACCTATTACAATACTACAGTTTTTCTGCAGCTTGATTACATTCTACATAAGTGATATCAATATTTTTAATCTTCCAGGTGGACTGACACATGAAAAAGCCATGATAGCTTAACTATAAACTCAGGTAAGGTCACTTTTATATTAATCTATCACAGTCTAGTTTTGTCACCATCACAGGGGGTGACATGCTGTTAAAGTCTCCAACTTTTTGTGGACAGCAGTTGGCTTTGGCAGTGTTTGGCGGAAGGTGTCTGTATTAAATGGCAGGTTATCACTAGTTACTTTTCATAACTTGATACCATGGTGAAGTATTATTTGTGTTTGTCTAGTTTTGTCACCACCACAGGGGGTGACATGCTGTTAAAGTCTCCAACTTTTTGTGGACAGCAGTTGGTTTTGGCAGTGTTTGGTGGTAGGTGTCTGTAACAAATGGCAGGTGGTGACATTTAGCATTTTTCATGTCTTCTTCCTGAGTTGAAATTCACTAGTTACTGTTCATAACTTGATACCATGGTGAATTATTATTTGTGTTTGAATACACCTCAAGTGCTACAAAAATATTTTTTCATGGGCTTGAATTTTTTCAGGCCATTTGTTTTTTCAGGTATTTGGATATTTTCAGGTTGTTCATTGTTTTCAGATGCTTGTTCAGGTTGTTAATCATTTTCAAGTGTTCCTTCCAAAATAGATTTGCCTACCCTTGAGACTCTTTATCTGATAGATAGAATGCACAAATAAAGCATTTAAAAGTTCTCTAAAATAAACCATTTTACTCGATTTAGATGTATTTATGCTATCTTAACCGTATGAAGGCCACACTTTATGATGGTGAACCATCAACAATTCCAAAAGTTCATTTTATCATGATATCGGGGATATAAAGTCAGCACATGTCTGACTGTCTGTTTTCGCGGCAAAATTGATTTCTTTTTCAGAGCAGAAATTTTACATCACGTGACATGACGTGTGTGGTTGAAACAATTTGCCGCGAAATACGATTTTTTAAATAAAAATGAGACCCTGGCTTTCAAACACGAAAAACAAAAAATTCCTTGTATATGTAATGAATAATATTGCAGTGCTCTTTCCACAAGAATTTCTTTTGTGAAGTTCAATCAATTAAAAATATTTATTTGGCTATTGGAATGTGTGCGATTGTGAAACTAATGTATATTTCTTAGAGCTGGCATCAAATGTCGGAATGGTCGATTGTCAGTCGAATGCTCTCTGCGACACCCATGTCGACACAACGCCTCTTGATCGACAGTCGGAACTCACAACATAATAAGCTATTTCCCTATGAATTAAAATCTTTGTTACTACTTGCTGTATGGTGTATTTTAGTGAAGTTTTACCACCTACATTTTCAAATTTTCCTTTTTGTTTTGATCAACTTCCTGCTCTCCAATTAGGTCTCGGGCCCCTCGAGATTTATTTTCAATGGCTGCACAGAAATAACAACAGAAATCCTAGTTTTATGTCTATTTATTGCTTTTTCGTCAAAGTCTGATACTTGAACATGGTTTCCCTGTAAGTTAAATATAATACATACAACTGAGGATGACTATTGTGCATTGTATTGCTAATTACATGTCTAGAAAATCTAAAATTTAGACGGATTTTCTTCAAAATTTTTTTCATTTTTCGAATATCATTGGACCCGACAATGTCGATATCGTTGTCGATCGAGAGCTCCGACATGTCGACATTAAAATCCTATTCGATGCCAGCTCTAATATTCCTACTTTGGTCCAGCCTTCGTAGTTGTTTGGAAAAACAAATTTTTGATTTATAAATAGAGAGATTCGAAGGAGTACCTTTCATGTAAATGAGTGCCATTCATGTAAAAGGAGTACCAATCATGTAAGGAGTACCATTCATAAAAATGCAGTACCAATCATGTTAAAGGAGTTCCATTCATGCTAAAGGAGTACCAATCATGTAAAAGAAGTACCAATCATGTAAAAGGAGTATCAAATTATCAATCATGTAAAAGGAGTACCATTCATGTTAAAGGAGTACCAATCATGTAAAAGGAGTACCAATGATGTAAAAGGAGTACCAAAAAGTACCAATCATATAAGGAGTACTATTCATATAAAAGCAGTACCATTCATGTAAAAGGAGTACCAATCATGTAAAAAGAGTACCATTCATGTAAAAGGAGTAACAATCATGTAAAAGAAGTACCAATTATGTTAAAGGAGTACCATTCATGTAAAAGAAGTACCAATCATGTAAAAGGAGTACCAATCATGTAAAAGGAATATCAGATTATCAATCCTGTTAAAGGAGTACCATTCATGTTAAAGGAGTACCATTTATGTAAAAGGAGTACCAATCATGTAAAAGAAGTACCATTCATGCAAAAGGAGTACCAGTCATGTTAAAGGAGTACCAATCATCCATGTAAAAGGAGTACCATTCATGTTAAAGGAGTACCAATCATGAAAAAAGAGTACCATTCAGTTTAAAGGAGTACCATTTATGTAAAAGGAGTACCATTCATGTTAAAGGAGTACCATTTATGTAAAAGGAGTACCAATCATGTTAAAGCAGTACCAATCAGGTTAAAGAAGTACCATTCATGCAAAAGGAGTACCAGTCATGTTAAAGGAGTACCGATCATCCATGTAAAAGGAGTACCATTCATGTTAAAGGAGTACCAATTATGAAAAAGGAGTACCATTCAGTTTAAATGACTACCCATCATGTAAAAAGAGACCCATTTAGGTAGTACCATATTGATGATCTGTACAGAAACGAAATTAACTGATTAACTGAGTTTTCATTTTTTGTAGTGGAGTACCGAACAATGACACTTCATTTTTTGAAGCAGGTTAGAGATTATAGGTAGTTTTGGTTTTGTTAATCTGTGATACACTTGTTTTCAGGACTCAAAAAGACTTTCTCTAATGACAGAATAACTCTCTAATTTTGCAGTAACGGATTGTGACCAGAATAATAAGAACATTTTATTTACAAGTTTTATGATTTATATCATATAGGCCCATAGGAGATAGGAGACCTGGTTTGGAGTGTTTTGTTTATTACTGTATTGTCTTCAAATTGTGATTTTGGGCCTCTTGGCATTTATTTAATTTGATGGTTTTCTCAAGTGTTCCAGACATTATGCCGTCCAAGCAAATTCAAGATATTAGTACTCATTGTCAGTGTTGTTGATGAACAATTTCTTCAATACTTCTTGTTATTTCTAATAGCCCAGCCATCTTCGTATCATTCTTATAACCCGGAGTGCACTGAATAAAAATCAGATCATATTCATATTTTGGCAACTACTTGATTTGGCAATTTTTTAATTCGCCAATTTATAACGCTTGTCAGATTAAAGACCAATACAGTCAACAATGTATTATGTATTATACTATTGTTGTATATATGAACCCATGGCACTGTTATTAAATTAAGATATTAAATTAAGTGATACTGTTATTTTACAGTTTTTGGTGAAGTCAGAACAATTGGTATTTGGCATAATTAAGTTGAGGAATGATTATTGTTAACTTCTATTTTTCTTGTATTTTCAGGGCTCATAAAAACACCTCAAATTAAGATACATTGAAGAATTAATTACGATCTCAAGAGACAATACGGATAAATCATATCACGCCTAATGATACCAAGAATTTGTGTGAAGAAACATTTGTCATATGACTGTCTTAAGCAAGATTAAGTTGAATTCAAGTACATGAATCAAAAAACTCATAATTTAGATTTAAGACTCTGAGCATTGATCCGATATGGCCAAAGAAGAGATTATAGCACAATCCAGTTCTGTCATTTTAAGTTACGAACAAGGTCTTATTTCTACGAACATCAAGCAAGAGATTGATGAGTCTCATTATTGTATCAATTCAGAAATGAATTTGATGAATGGAAATTTGTATGCAGACAAACATGTAAGAACTTCACAGGCCATCAAACAAGAGGTAGAACCCTTTAGCAGCACAGATAATATGCCAATAGAAGACTTTGGTATGTTAACAAAGTATAATGATGACATTGTAAAAGAGGAAGTTGCAGCACCATCCAACAGTGTTCCATTAGATAAGAAAGATACCACCAAAGAAGAGGTAGAAACCTATACCAGCACAGATAACATACCAATAGGAGACTTTGGTGTGTTAACAAAGTATTATGATGACATTGTAAAAGAGAAAATTGCAGCACCATCCAACAGTGTTCCATACAGCAAGGAACCCAACATTGAGCAAGTGATAGAAATTAGTGGAAAACAAGAGATACCAAGTGACACTTCTTTGAAATATCATGAGAGAATTCAAACAAGCAAGAAGCAACTTAAATGTGAATATTGTATAAAGTGTTTCAATTATGCTTCTGAATTAAAGCGTCATGAAAGAATCCATACAGGCGAGAAGCCTTTTAAGTGTCAACATTGTGAAAAGTGTTTCAGTGGCAGGTCTCATTTGAAGTGTCATGAGAGAACCCATACAGGTGATAAACCTTATAAATGTCAATACTGTAAAAAGGGTTTCGATTATTCATATGATTTGAAGCGTCATGGGAGAATTCATACAGGTGAGAGGCCCTATAAATGTCAACATTGTGAAAAGTGTTTCAGTGACACTTCCACTTTGAAATGTCATGAAAGAATTCATACAGGTGAGATGCCATTTAAATGCCAGCATTGTGAAAAGTGTTTCAGTCGACCTTCTCATTTGAAGCTTCATAAGAGGTGTCATACAGGCGAGACACCATTTAAATGTCAACAGTGTGAAAAATGTTTTAGTCACTCTTCTCATATGAAACAACACATGACAATTCATATACCTGAAGGTGAGACGCCATTTAAATGTCAACATTGTGGAAAGTGTTTTAATCGAATTTCTCTCTTGAAATGTCATGTGAGAATTCATACAGGAGAGAATAAGCCTTATCAATGTCAATATTGTGGAAACTTTTTTAATGACACTTCTAATCTGAAACGTCATGAGAGAATTCATTTAAAGCAAGAAGCCATTTAAATGTCATTATTATGGAAAGAAGGGCAAGTAATGTTAAAAGACATGAGAGAATTCATACAGGAGAAGCCTTCTGAATGGCAATATTGTGAAAAGTGTTTCTATCACACTTTTGAAATATTTTGAAACAAGCCTTTTAAGGAAGTTGTAAGCTGGCACAAGATGGTTCCATGTTATGGGTTATGGCATTGGAGCAATGATGAGTGTTCCATTTAAGGATTTATAAATAACACGATATTAGACATTCAGATTAAGATTCTTACTTTATATTAATGCATCATTTTGATATATATATGTTTTAATTATTTACACCCAATAATGGCATTTTATGTATCATTGTTGTATATTGTATAAGTTTGTGTTTGAGCACTTGATTATTTTGGTGTTAAAGTTTTTAGTTATGGTCCATCTTTACACCCTTAGAGGTGCCATAGCAACATGCTTGTAGCAAAAGGATCAACATTGTTGAGAATGTCAGAAAATGAATTTTAAAAATAAATAAAATGAACATAAATTAACCAACTGAGTCTGTTTTTACATGACTTTGTATTTAATTAATTTTGACCCTGACATGAATAGAGAGCTCATACATCTAATTTTCTCTCAGTATTTTTGTGAGTGCTATTTAGTTTTATGCAAAGGACAAGTGTCTAAAAGACCCTATATTAGCCCCCAAGATATTTTAATAAGTGCAAGAACCCTTTTTAAATGTACATATCACGATTCAGAAAAGAATTTGTACCATCGTGTTTAAATCACACACAGTCATAAAACTGCATCTAAATCACAGTTTACAAAAATGATCCAATCTGTGTTTTTTTAAAAAAAACATTTTGCCACCTGTCTGTAACAGTGTTTTTTTAAAACTTGAACATTCAAAGTTCATACATTTGGGAAAATGCATCCAGGCAGGTGTTTTAAGATCTTCTGTCTGTTTATGTTCAAAGGATTTTTGATGAAAAGTTTTCTAGTACGCACCCTTAAGAGCCTAGATGTATCATTGCCACACAACAGTGTGACATCTCAACTTTTTAAAACTTGAACATCAAAGTTCATACATATGGGAAAAATGCATTCAGGCAGGTGTTTTAAGATCTTCTGTCTGTTTATGTTAAAGGATTTTTGATGTAAAGTTATTTCATTTAAAATTACAATAAAATCACTAATAGTCCTTATATGCTTTAATAAAATGTCTACATAAAATGTAGGTTTAAACTCAATGAAAAAATAAGTTTTCACAGTCTCTAGTTGATGGAGCTTTTCTATAACGGGAATAGTTATGTTCCATTAAGTACAATTTAAAATTGATTTTAGTAAATATAATAGTTCGACATGACCCTTTAAACTATACGTATAAGTTGTACTTTCACTTATGTGCGAAACCTCTCTATTATGTCTTTAATAATACCGATGTATTATGTATTATATTGTTATTATTTATATATGAACCCATGGCACTGTTATTAAATTAAGATAGAGTAATAAAAAGTGACTATTAGTGATTTTATATGAAATAAATAATTTGTTGTATACACTGACATAATCTTGTTTTGTTTGCCATTCATTGACACACACCGTAATACACTAAACCCTTAATACACCCAAATGCCAACTGAGGAGAATCCATACAGGTGTGTGGCAATGATACATCTAGGCTCTGAGGGTGTCTGAGTACTAGTAAACTTTACATCAGAAATCCTTTGAACATAAACAGACAGGAGATCTTTAAACACCTGCCTGAATGCATTTTCCCATATGTATGAACTTTGAATGTTCAAGTTTTAAAAAATTGAGATGTCAAAAGAAAACAGTGTTACATCAAGTGGCAAAATGATTTTAAAAATTAGGAAAAAACCAAATGCTGCTATTTTACAGTTTTTTTTTGGTGAAGCACAGTTGGTATTTGGTATAATTAAGTTGAGGAATGATTTTTGTTAAGCTTTATTTCTCTTGTATTTTCAGGGCTCATAAAACACCTCAAGTAACAATATTGAATAAGGAATAAGGATCTCAAGAGACAATACGGATAAATCATCTCACCCCTCGATAACCAATGGGTCAATAAGAATGTATGAAGAGTCATCTGTCATATGAATGATTTCATATTGGTGAAAACAAGACTAAGTTGAATTCAAACACATGAAGCAAAACTGAAAGAGTCATGATTGAGAATCAGAGACTCTGGGGATAGATCCAATATGGCCAAAGAAGAGATTATAGCACAATCCAGTTCTGTCATTTTAAGTTATGAACAAGGTATTATTTCTGCGAACATCAAGCAAGAGATTGATGAGTCTCATTATTGTATCAATTCAGAAATGAATTCCATGAATGGAAATGTGTATGCAAACGAACATGTAAGAACTTCACAGGCCATCAAACAAGAGATAGAAACCTATAGCAGCACAGATAATATACCAATAGAAGATGTTGGTGTGTTAACAAAGTATAATGATGACATTGTAAAAGAGGAAGTTGCAGCACCATCCAACAGTGTTCCATTAGATGAGAAACATACCACCAAAGAAGAGGTAGAAACCTATAGCAGCACAGGTAATATGCCAAGAGAAGACTTTGGTGTGTTAACAAAATGTTATGATGACATTGTAAAAGAGGAAGTTGCAGCACCATCCAACAGTGTTCCATTAGATAAGAAAAGTACCACCAAAGAAGAGGTAGAAACCTATAGCAGCACAGGTAATATGCCAAGAGAAGACTTTGGTGTGTTAACAAAATGTTATGATGACATTGTAAAAGAGGAAGTTGCAGCACCATCCAACAGTGTTCCATTAGATAAGAAAGATACCACCAAAGAAGAGGTAGAAACCTATAGCAGCACAGATAATATCCCAATAAAAGACTTTGGTGTGTTAACAAAGTATTATGATGACATTGTAAAGGAGGAAGTTGCAGCACCATCTAACAGTGTTCCATTAGATGAGAAACATACCACCAAAGAAGAGGTAGAAACCTATAGCAGCACAGATAATATACCAATAGGAGACTTTGGTAGGTTAACAAAGTATAATGATGACATTGTAAAAGAGGAAGTTGCAGCACCATCCAACAGTGTTCCATTAGATGAGAAACATACCACCAAAGAAGAGGTAGAAACCTATGGCAGGACAGATAATATGCCAATAGAAGACTTTGGTATGTTAACAAAGTATAATGATGACATTGTAAAACAGGAAGTTGCAGCACCATCCAACAGTGCTCCATTAGATGAGAAACATACCACCAAAGAATGGGTAAAAACCTATAGCAGCACAGATAATATGCCAATAGAAGACTTTAGTGTGTTAACAAAGTATAATGATGACATTGTAAGAGAGGAAGTTGCCGCACTATCCAACAGAGTTCCATTAGACATTAAATGTCAACATTGTGAAAAATGTTTTGATTGTCCTTCTGATTTGAAGCGTCATGAGAAAATTCATACAGGCGAGAAGCCTTATAAATGTCAACATTGTGAAAAATGTTTTAATTGTCCTTCTGATTTGAAGCGTCATGTGAGAATTCATACAGGCGAGAAGCCTTACAAATGTCAATTATGTGAAAAGTGTTTTAATTGTTCTTCTGATTTGAAGCGTCATGAGAGAATTCATACAGGCGAGAAGCCTTATAAATGTCAACATTGTGAAAAGTGTTTCAGACACACTTATCATTTGAATTATCACATGAAAACTCATACAGGCGAGAACCTATTTAAATGTCAATATTGTGAAAAGGGTTTCTATCAACCTTCTGATTTGAAACGTCATGAGAGAATTCATACAGGTGAAAAGCCATTTAAATGTGACCATTGTGGAAAATGTTTCAGTAGATCATCTCATTTGAAACGTCACGAGAGAATTCATACAGGTGAGAGGCCCTATAAATGTCAACATTGTGAAATGTGTTTCAGTGACAGTTCTCATTTGAAGATTCATGAAAGAATTCATACAGGAGAGAAACCATTTAAATGTAAACATTGTGGAACATTCTTTGATAAAACTTCTGATTTGAAGCGTCATGAGAGAATTCATACAGGTGAGAGGCCCTATAAATGTCAACATTGTGAAAAGTGTTTTAGTGACAGTTCCACTTTGAAATGTCATGAAAGAATTCATACAGGTGAGAAGCCATTTAAATGCCAGCATTGTGAAAAGTGTTTCAGTAGACATTCTCAAATGAAGCTTCATGAGAGAACGCATACGGGTGAGACACCATTTAAATGTCAACAGTGTGAAAAATGTTTCAGTAACTCTTCTCAAATGAAACGACACATGACAATTCATTCAGGTGAGAAACGATTTACATGTCAACATTGTGGAAAGTGTTTCAATCGAAATTCTCAATTGAAATGTCATGTGAGAATTCATACAGGAGAGAATAAGCCTTATCAATGTCAATATTGTGGAAACTGTTTTAATTACACTTGTCATTTGAAGCGTCATGAGAGAATCCATACAGGAGAGAAGTCATTTTAATGTTCGTATTATGGGAAGTGTTTCAGAAGAACAAGTAATGTTAAAAGATATGAGATAATACATACAGGAGAAACCTTGACAATATTGTGAAAAGTGTTTCAATCACAGCTTTGAAACATTTCGAAAGTATTCATACAGGAGATGAGCCTTTCAAGGTTGTTGTTTACTGGCACAATTGCTGTGAGCTTTGGCAATGAAACAATAATTTGATGAGTGGTCCACTTTAGGATACTGTATATAAATATTATGATAAAGACATTCAGATTCTTAGGCTGCTTGTTTGTACATGCTTTTTTGAGCACAAGCAATATTTTAATTCTAAAAATTAACTGGATCGTGGTTATACCACAATAGTATGTGTGAAATACAGGCAGGGAGTCATTTAAATGCTTTATGAATCTCAAAAGTTATAAATATATTAAGGCTTAAAATTAAATAAAGAATTGTAAGAGGAATTAAAATCCCCAATGAACAGACTTCCTTGAATTACGTTAAAAGACCCCATATAAAGTTTAATTTACTTTGGCTTTTATTAAGTCACACCAAATATTATTAAAATGTGGTATGTTAAATGTTTTCTATTTAATTTCAAAAAGTTGATTTTGAAGGACATTTTGGAAAATTGTGAAATTATTTCAAAAATTATTTCGAAACGTCAAAAAGAAAAAGAAATATCTCTGAGAAAGAAAATCAACAACTTTGTAAAATTTTAGTTGTTTTTCACAAACCAAAACACAGATATTTTAATAAGAAAACAAATCCAAAACTCATAAGAAATATTGCATCGAATCTTTTGAACTGTTTATTTTGAATTTATAGTCAGTTTTGATTTTAGAAAATGAAGACATTTCGACGTTTTCATTGTTGAAAAATATCGAGTTTCGATCCTGGGAGCCAATCCTCCTTGGTGTCTGTTTATGTTTTTAGCACTTGATGTTTTTAGCACTTGATGTTTTTGATTTAAAACTTTTTCAAGTGCTCAGCCTTAGAGTATCATGGCCACACACCGAAAATAATGTTTTTTTATTATAAAGGAATAACAATTTTAAAAATAAAATAAAATGTATATCAATTAACCAACTAAATCTGTTTTTACATGTATTTGTTATGTCACCACCAGAAGCGGTGATGTATTGATATGGTCTCCAACTTTTTTGAAGCTGGTGTCTGGCGATTGGTTTTTGGCATCTGAAGCAGTGTTCGGCAGTTTGTGTATGTTATTAATGGCAGGTTGACTAGGTGAAATTTTGCATGTTAATGCCTTGTTTGAATTTGACCCTGGCATAAATAAAGAGCTCATATGTACTATATACTCCCAGTATTTTTACATTGCTTTAGTTTTGCACGAAATGTGCAAATTAAATCCCCAGAGATTTGTTATCCTATCGAACAAAGTTCGGAGGGATATAGAGAACGGCTTCATCCGTCATATTATGTACACATGTGCCCTATGGGGGTAGAAGTTCTGCTCAGAAACAGATTTTCAGAATGGCCAGGATTGTGTAAAATGTTTGTCTTGTATTATTTGGCGACAAATTGGATATAAACAAGAATTTCTCTTACATAACTGTAGCTTTTTAGATTAAATATCATTTTAAAAAATGATGAATTAATAAGTAGAGATGCAGCCTGTAGTTGATCAAGATTTAGTAATTGTAAATCTGTTCTAAATATGACAATGGGTAGGTGCAATGACTGTACATAGTTGTAATGTACTTAGTTTACAGAGCTTGAGGATAAATACATGGGTATCAAAAAATATCTTGGGAAGAAGTTATTGCATGTATTTTTCGAAAAGATTGAATTGTATTGCCCTTTTTAGCAATTCTGGGGAATGTCTTATTTCATTCCCCAACAAAATGAATCCAAATAGTTTGGAAAACAAAAGTTAGTTGTGAGGACCATGAAAATCACGTTTTTCTAACAATCCTAATTTTTGAATGAATGACATCTGATCCATAAATAAACTGAAATTTCTTAGTATTATAGGAAAATGAAAACACAGAATGAAATTCCAGGCTGAGGGCTCATGTGAGCAACTCCTTCCATCCCAGTTACATGTATGTCACCACCACAAAATCACATGTTTGTCACCACCAAAATTACATTTGTATGATGTGAGAGTCGACATTCCCCCTGGTAGCATTAACATTGGTCTAATTATATGTCATACATTTTATATTTAAAACACAATATTCAAACTTAAGATCAGACAAATGTATGATGCGTACTTCAAGGTACATGTAATAAAGTAACATCATGCATTTGTCTGATCATAAGTTCGAGTAATAGTTGTGTTTCAAATATTAATTGTATGCCATATACAAGTATGTCCATCTGTCCGTACATACTTCGGTACTTCAGTATGTTAACTCGTGACACTTAAATTAAGGAAAATACTGATACTGCTCTTTCTATAATGATATTTGGTGAAGTCAAAACAGTTGGTATTTACATAGGTTAAACACATTTGGTAAAATTTAGCTGTGGATGGTTATTATTAATCTTTATTTCTCTTGTATTTTCAGAGCTCTTAAAAACACTTCAAGTTACAATGCATTGAAGGATGGACTAGGATCTCAAGAGATAATATGGATAGATCATCTCATGACTTGGTACAAAGAATTTAGTCAATAAATATGAATGACGCATGATTTAACACTGGTGAAAACAAGACTTTTAAAGTGGAATTTAGATGCAAGAATTATAAAGGTCATCAAACTCTGTGGTTAGACCAATATGGCTGAAGAAGAGATTAAAACACAATCCAGTAGTGTTATATTGAGTTCTAAACAAGATATGAGTTCCATGAACATCAAACATGAGATTGATGATTCTCATTACTATATGAATTCTACAGGAATTAATTTTAAAAATGGAAATCTGTATGCAAACGAACATGTAAGAACTTCACAGGCCATCAAACAAGAGATAGACGCCAATGTGAACTATAGCAGCACAGATAATATGCCTATGAAAGACTTCAATCTATATGCAACCAAACATGAAACAACTTCACATACCACCAAACAAGAGATAGAAATTAATTTGAAAAATGGTAATCTGTATGCAACCGAACATGAAACAACTTCACATACCACCAAACAAGAGATAGAAGCCAATGTGAACTATAGCAGCACAGGTAATATGCAAATAGAAGACTCCAATCTATATGCAACCAAACATGAAACAACTTCACAGACCACCAAACAAGAGATAGATGCCAATGTCAACTATAGCAGCACAGATAATATGCAAATAGAAAACTTCAATCTATATGCAACCAAACATGAAACAAGTTCACAGACCACCAAACAAGAGATAGATGCCAATGTGAACTATAGCAGCACAGATAATATGCAAATAGAAAACTTCAATCTATATGCAACCAAACATGAAACAAGTTCACAGACCACCAAACAAGAGATAGATGCCAATGTGAACTATAGCAGCACAGATAATATGTTGATAGAAGACTTTGGTATGTTACCAAAGTATAATGATGACATTGTAAAAGAGGAAACTGCAGTACCATCCAACAGTGTTTCATTCAATGATGAAAATAACATTGAACAAGAGGTAGAAAATAGTGTAAAACGAGCGATAACAAATGATGATCAAGATTTCAAAGACAATAGTGAGGAGAAACATCACATGTCTAACAAGTCTGTTGATGAAATGGATTTAGTGAAAGATGTATTTTCTGAGCATAATTGTACAATATGTCCTACTTCTTTAAGATTTGAAATATCTGGTAATGCATATGCTACTTCTGACAATACTGTAATAAAGGATACTAATGCAGGTGAGGAGTCATATAAATGTCAACACTGTGGAAAGTGTTTTAATAGTTCTTCTCATTTGATACGTCATGAGAGTACTCATACAGGCGAGAAGCCATTTAAATGTCAACATTGTGGAAAGTGTTTCAGTATCACTTCTAGTTTGAAATATCATGAGAGAATTCATACAGGAGAGAAGCCATTTAAATGTCAACATTGTGGAAAGTGTTTTAATAGTTCTTTTCATTTGAAGTTTCATGAGAGAATTCATACTGGTGAGAAGCCTTATAAATGTCAACATTGTGGAAAATGTTTCATAACAAATTCTGAAGTTAAAAGACATGAAACTATTCATACTGGTGAGAAGCCATTTAAATGTCAATATTGCGGAAAAGGTTTCAATCAGTCTTCTAATTTGATACGTCACGAGAAAATTCATACAGGAGAGAAGCCATTTAAATGTCAACATTGTGGAAAGTGTTTTAAAACAAATTATGAAGTTAAAGGACATGAGATTATTCATACTGGTGAGAAGCAATTTAAATGTCAATATTGTGGAAAATGTTTCATAACAAATTCTGAAGTTAAAAGACATGAAACTATTCATACTGGTGAGAAGCCATTTAAATGTCAATATTGTGGAAAATGTTTCATAACAAATTCTGAAGTTAAAAGACATGAAACTATTCATACTGATGAGAAGCCATTTAAATGTCAATATTGTGGAAAGGGTTTCAATCGGTCTTCTAATTTGATACGTCACGAGAGAATTCATACAGGTGAGAAGCCTTATAAATGTCAACTTTGTGGAAAATGTTTTAAAACAAATATTGATGTTAAAATACATAAGATAATTCATACAAGATAGAAGCCATTTAAATGTCAACATTGTGATGAGAGTTTCAATTACCCTTCTCATTTGAAGTTTCATGAAAAATTTCATCCTGAGAAGCCATTTAAATGTCAACATTGTGGAAAATGTTTCAATCAGTCTTCTAATTTGATATGTAACTAGAAAATTCATACAGGTGAGAAGCCTTATAAATGTCAACATTGTGGAAAATGTTTTAAAACAAATTCTGATGTTAAAAGACATGAAACTATTCATACTGGTGAGAAGCCATTTAAATGTCAATATTGCGGAAAATGTTTCAATCAGTCTTCTAATTTGATATGTAACTAGAAAATTCATACAGGTGAGAAGCCTTATAAATGTCAACATTGTGGAAAATGTTTCATAACAAATTCTGAAGTTAAAAGACATGAAACTATTCATACTGGTGAGAAGCCATTTAAATGTCAACATTGTGGAAAATGTTTCATAACAAATTCTGAAGTTAAAAGACATGAAACTATTCATACTGGTGAGAAGCCATTTAAATGTCAATATTGTGGAAAATGTTTCATAACAAATTCTGAAGTTAAAAGACATGAAACTATTCATACTGATGAGAAGCCATTTAAATGTCAATATTGTGGAAAAGGTTTCAATCGGTCTTCTAATTTGATACGTCACGAGAGAATTCATACAGGTGAGAAGCCTTATAAATGTCAACTTTGTGGAAAATGTTTTAAAACAAATTCTGATGTTAAAAGACATGAAACTATTCATACTGGTGAGAAGCCATTTAAATGTCAACATTGTGGAAAATGTTTCATAACAAATTCTGAAGTTAAAAGACATGAAACTATTCATACTGGTGAGAAGCCATTTAAATGTCAATATTGCGGAAAATGTTTCAATCAGTCTTCTAATTTGATATGTCACGAGAAAATTCATACAGGTGAGAAGCCTTATAAATGTCAACATTGTGGAAAATGTTTTAAAACAAATTCTGATGTTAAAAGACATAAAACAATTCATACTGAGAAGCCGTTTAAATGTCAACATGGTGGAAAGTGTTTCAATTACCCCTCTCATTTGGAAAGTTATGAGAGAACTCATACAGCACATACGTTGTTTAGATGTCAACATTGTGGAAAATTGTTCAATCGTGCTACTTTGAAACGTCATGAAAAAATTCATACTCGTAAGTTGGCGATTAAATGGCAATATTGTTCAAAATATTTCAATCAAACTTCTGCTTTAAAAAGTCATGTGAGAATTCATACAGAATGGAAGCCATTTCAATGTCAACATTGTGACAAAAGTTTCGGTTTCTCTTACTCTTTGAAATATCATCAGATAATCCATACAGGTAAGAATCCTTTTGAATGTCAACATTGTGGAAAGCGTTTCAGAAGAGCTAATAATGAAGTAAAAATACACGAGAGAATTCATATTGGAGAGAAGAGGTTTCAATCTTTTCATTGTGGAAAATGTTTTAGTCGTCCTTCTGCTTTTAAGTGTCATGAGAAATTCCATACAAGTGAGCAACCTTATCAGTGTCAATATTGTCTTAAGTGTTTTCAATCAAATCCTGCGGTTAAAGCCCATGAGCTCATTCATACAGGTGAGAAATCATATAAATGTTGAGAATGTGAAAGATGTTAAGAAATAGTGATGTTAAAATACATGAGAGAATTCATACAGGCGAGAGTCCTTTTAAATGTCAACATAAAAAAGTGTTGTTGTAAGAAACTTTCTTTGAAATGTCATGAGAGACGTCATACAATTGAGATGCCATTTAATGCCAGCATTATGGAAAGTGTTTCAGTAAGAAATTTTCTTTGAAATGTCATGAGAGACGTCATACAATTGAGATACCATTTAATGCCAGCATTATGGAAAGTGTTTCGGTAAGAAATTTTCTTTGAAATGTCATGAGAGACGTCATACAATTGAGATACCATTTAATGCCAGCATTATGGAAAGTGTTTCAGTAAGAAATTTTCTTTGAAATGTCATGAGAGATGTCATACAATTGAGATGCCATTTAATGCCAGCATTATGGAAAGTGTTTCAGTAAGAAATTTTCTTTGAAATGTCATGAGAGACGTCATACAATTGAGATGCCATTTAATGCCAGCATTATGGAAAGTGTTTCAGTAAGAAATTTTCTTTGAAATGTCATGAGAGACGTCATACAATTGAGATACCATTTAATGCCAGCATTATGGAAAGTGTTTCAGTAAGAAATTTTCTTTGAAATGTCATGAGAGACGTCATACAATTGAGATGCCATTTAATGCCAGCATTATGGAAAGTGTTTCAGTAAGAAACTTTCTTTGAAATGTCATGAGAGACGTCATACAATTGAGATGCCATTTAATGCCAGCATTATGGAAAGTGTTTCATTGAGAAACTTTCTTTGAAATGTCATGAGAGACGTCATACAATTGAGATACCATTTAATGCCAGCATTATGGAAAGTGTTTCAGTAAGAAATTTTCTTTGAAATGTCATGAGAGACGTCATACAATTGAGATGCCATTTAATGCTAGCATTATGCAAAGTGTTTCAGTAAGAAATTTTCTTTGAAATGTCATGAGAGACGTCATACAATTGAGATGCCATTTAATGCCAGCATTATGGAAAGTGTTTCATTGAGAAACTTTCTTTGAAATGTCATGAGAGACGTCATACAATTGAGATACCATTTAATGCCAGCATTATGGAAAGTGTTTCAGTAAGAAACTTTCTTTGAAACATATGAAAAGACATATAAATATTAATACAATAAGACTTGGCATGGGCATCTGGCAGAAAATTGAACCTCAAAGAGTTACCTTTCAAAAAAATATGGATACCATAAATTGACAGAGACCGACATATTGGGTAAATTTTTTGAAACGATAGAGAGGCATGGGTTTCTGACTAAGTGGAAAGTGTTACATTATCAGAGTTCTCACCAGGAAATTTTAGACCCCGAATTTTTCGTTGTATCGCGACTACTCCCCAATGTGAGATAAGAGATATCCTTATTAGTATACTCAAAACCCTACTTACAGAATGACTTAAAGATCATCTTCCTATTTTAATCACAATATACATTTATAAAAGGTGGCTGACTTCCTATTCCTTGTTTATATCCAGTTTTATGTATTTTCTCAAGAGTTTTGCCATAAATAATGTCACAAAATTGTAAAATTAGACTCCGACAAAAACACTTTAGACTGCGGAAAAGACACTGGAGCAAGAGGGTCTAAAGTCATTAGACTCCAGAGAATCTCCGGGGTCTTAAAGCCTAGTGAGAACCCTGATTATTGGTTGAAGAGAATTTAAGCCCAAGACTCAATACATTGTGGCTTATTTATTCCACTCAGGTGTTGTTTCCTAAACTTAGTACTCAAATGATTATCAGTCCGCTACAATGCAATGACTCCAGAGCTTAAATTCTAAACCATTGAGAATGTTTGTCCATACAAGAAGCAGTATGAATCTAATGTCTTTAAAGAATTGCCGATACAAGTTGTTATTATCAGATTATGGAATAACATTTTTAAAAAGAAATAAAATGTACATACAGTGTATATTGACCAAGTGAGTTTGTTTTTATATGTTTTTACTTAATTTTGACCCGGACATGAATATGGAGCTTATACAGGGTGTCAAAAAACAACGGCACCCCCCTCTACAGCAAAAAGTACTTAATGTTACATGGTGTGTCATATCTCATTTTAAAGACAATTTAATTCTGGAGCTACCTGAGAAACTTCAGCTTTATATCATATAATTTTACAGATTGACAGCTGATTCTTAGTAGTTGGTATGACCACCAGTTGCTGCTTAAACAGCAGCTTATCTGGACGGAAATGATTTCAATAAAAATTCAGACAAAGGTGTAGCATTGCATAATCCTCTAAGCACTTTCCTCAAATTCTTCAGAAATACATCCTCACTGTATCTTTTTTCAAGAGGCTCATCGTCCATCAGTTCCTATACCCTGTTTTTCAGAACTGAACCCATATGTT